CAGGTGGTAGGAGTAGATACAGTGTGGCTTCCTGGGATTGAACCAGGAGGAAAACTCAAGATGGCACTTAACTGCATCTGCTGGAATACAAGGTTTCAACTCATGATCCCGCTGAAGAACCACACACCCCAAGCAGCCTGCAAGGCCTTCTACCAGTGGATTCGTGTTTTTGGACCGCCAGAGCGGGTCTACTGCGACCTTGGCAGAGAGTTCAAGAGAGCCTTCCACGACATGGCAGAGCAAAATGATTTCCATCTGGATCCTGGAGCCCTTGAAGCACCTACTCAGAGATCAATCACGGAGAGAGCTGGAAGAACCTTCAAGGAGATCCTTTCCAAGACACTCATGCAGACCGGATGCACAAGCTGGGACGAGTGGCACGACGCCGTTGACATCGTCTGTTCAACAGTCAACAGACTGGCAAACAAGTCGGGATTCAGCCCAATGCAGAGAATGCTCGGCTTCAATCCCAGACTACCAGGCAGTCTTCTGAGCGGTGGAGAAGGAGATCACGGTGTGGGCTCACGATACATCGCTGGTGACGCTCAGATCCAACGAGCCATGGAGATCAAGAAGCAGGCGGCGATAGCATACCATGAGGCAGACTGCAACCAGGCACTACGCCATGCAATCCATTCAGGACCGAAAAAGATGTACGACTTCACAGCTGGACAGACAGTCTACTTTTGGAGAAAGGGAATGAATCAACAAAAGAAGGATAACCCAGCTTACTGGCATGGACCAGCAAAGGTGGTCCTCACTGACCTCCCCTCGACGGTTTGGGTGGTGCACAACGGCTACCTTGTGAAGGCATGTCCTGAACATCTTCGACCAGCGAGCGACGACGAGAAGTTCATCCTCACCGACTTCATCGCGGACATCCTGGAGACCAAGAAGCTCCTTGACGAGAAAGACATTCGCGGCTATATCATCCTGGAGGACAAACCACCACTAGAAGATCTTCTTCCTCGAGATCCCCAACCTGAAGGTCCAGAACCACCGATACCCAAGTATTGCCTGACCGGAAAGACCGACCACCGGGTGATAGAGTTCAAGGAGGACAATAATGAGACGGTGGAGCAAGAGACCAAGACGGAGGAAGGGTAACAAGAGACGAAGAATTGAAGAAGGAGAACACGCGCGATCCGAACTGGCTCCAACAGAATATGAGCCATCCCTCGCCAACACGGAGGAACTTCAACAAGATGCTGCTGGAGCCGAACATCATCGAGCACCAGACCTACATCCGGGAGAAGGAGAATGTGATCGAGGAGTTGTTCGACATGATCATCCAGAACCTGAAGGACCAGATGAACCACCTTCAAAAAGGCTTCGAACGGAGCACCTGGAGATCCTGTTGACACAGCTTGTCGGCATGAACCAGAAGAAAAGAAAGGAAGTTCACCTCAACAAGATGACGAAGAAGGAAAGAGAAAAGTTTCAGGCGGCGATCCTCAAGGAAATCAAGACCAACCTGAAATCCAATGCCTACGAGGTGTTGACTAGAGAAGAATCAGAGCTTGTGAGAAGAGAGAAACCAGAGAAGATCATGAAGTCACGGTATGTGTTGACCGAAAAGCCGGTTGAGCCCCATGAGATATCAGACATACGGGCTCAGGGACTTCTTCTGGAAGGCAATGAAACTGAGCCAGCGAAAGCTAAGGCTCGGCACGTGATGAAAGGTTTTTCAGAAACAGGTGCCGAAGACCTGGACTCAACGACACCACAAGTCGCAAAAGAAACGGCATTCTTTGTGCTCCAGATCCTGGCCAGCATGGCATGGGAACTAGGCCACTTAGACTTCACTCAAGCGTTCCACTCAGGGGACAGAATACAGAGAGAGCTCTATGCAGAAATGCCCACCGAGGGAATCCCTGGGTTACATCCACGACAGCTACTTCGGCTGAAGAAGACGTGCTATGGTCTTACAGATGGACCCTACGCCTGGTACTGCCATATCTCACGAGTACTACAAGAACTGGGATATGAGAAAAGCAAAGCAGACCCATGTCTGTTCTTCCTCCGAGATCCCCAGACTGGCGCTAATGATGGAATCATTGGCCTGGCAACTGACGACATGATTCACGGTGGAGGCCAAAGACATTGGAAGAACATGCAATGGCTACGAGAGAGCTACCAGATGGGAAAGTTCACGACTGGCAGTGGCAAGTTTACAGGAAAGAATCTGGTGCCGGAGACGGATGGATCCATCACTGTGAACCAACAACACTACATCGAGAACCACATCGACAAGATCATCGTGGACAAGGACCGACGTAGCCAGAAGTTTTCTAGATGTACTCACAAGGAGATCTCGGACCTGAGAACCTTGATTGGTGGTCTGGCTTGGGTCTCAAAAGAAACCAGACCTGACATAGCCGGCAGGGTAGCCATGTTGCAGCAAGCAATGCCACACCCAATGATCAGAGACCTCCTAGAGGGCAACTCCATACTGGACGAACTACAAAAGACCTCGACGTTGGGACTGAAGATTCAGCCTATCCCTCTTCAACGACTGAGAATGGGAGTGGTGAGTGATGCCTCCTGGGGAAATGCTGGACCAAACACCAGTGAAGAAAGCCCCGAAGACTACTGGCAAGAAACCTCAAAACTATGGATCCGACATCATGTTCAAGGTCGTCGACTTCGATTTCACCCAGGTGGAACTCCAGATGGGCCTGATGTTCACAGTATAACAAGGGCAAGGACAACTGTAGCGAATGGAGAGAACTATGTCGACAAATGGGACGATCACCAAGGTTTCTCCTGTCTACCAGAGACTTGGACCGGAAAGACCATCTTCTACAAGACGAATGACAGCAAGGAGACGAAGAAACCTCTCAGCGAGAAGTTCCTACAAGCCTCGAAGAAAAGTAGCCAAGGTGGTTTCCTGCTCTTCTACTACGACAGCCGCATGGAAACCTCTGACACACCAGAGATGATATCCATCATCGGATGGAAGAGCTACAAGCTGAAGAGGTGTACGGTTAACACCTTATCTGCCGAATGCCAATCCATGGTCCAAGGTTTGGGTCAACTACATTGGCATCGCTTTCTCCTGGCGGAGCTCTTTGGCATCAACCTGGAACTGGAGAAATGGGAGGACCAGCTGTCACGATTTCCTTTTGTGGCAGTAACAGACTCCCGGTCATTATATGACACGGTGACGAAGTGCAGGAACTCATCAGCACACGTGGACGACAAGAGGACGGCCATCGACCTGACCATCCTGAAGAACGACCTTTCAAAGCAGAAGGGACAGGTGCGGTGGGTCCAGGGAGTCAATATGATAGCCGATTCCTTGACTAAGAAGATGTCACCCTGGTTCCTCAGAAAAATCATGCAGCTCGGCTTTTGGACTTTGGCTGAAACTGGCTATGAACTTTTAGTCAACAGTCAACAGAAGTGTGGTCCGATGTGAATAGCTTGGACTCCATTGACTGCTGACACATGGACATGAAGAACCACCGAAGCCGGTGGCCCAATGAAGAGGGTCGTGTGCTGGGGGAAGGGCGGAATAATATATTATATAATATATTATATAATATATAATATAATATATAATATAATATATATAATATATAATGTATAATATCTAATATTTAATATAAGTGGCAAAGTTGTGGGGATTAATTTGCCATTTTCGGACCCCTTTTGAAACAAGGTGAGGTACGATTGAGAGCTGATATAGATTCCAGGGGTGGAAAGATCATGTTGTCACTGGCAGTGGTTTGATGAAGATAGCAATTTTCCGAATTCTTGACCAACCGTGATGGGTTGCCTTGAACTGTTCGAACCACCAATCCATAGTTTGGTGAAATCGGCCATGGGTTCAAAGGTGTGTCTGAAAATGGTGATCAACTGCTGGGTTTCGGGGTATTTTCAGGTGATATGGCCATGTTTTCCCAGTGGTTTTTTCGGGAACTGGAGGAAACCCTGACATATTTTGCGGTGATCATGGTTGCCTGTAGATGTTGAACTTCAAGGCATATCTTGCCGAAAGCACTGCCGATTGCCCAAACACACCATTTAATGAAGGATGTGAGGGATGTGTCCGACAATTCAAGGTTAATGTATATTGCTTGAATATATATATATATGTGATATATGATATATGATATATGATATATGATATATATATATATGATATATGATATAGAAACTAAACATATATATATATTATCATTATATTATATATATATCATTATATTATATATGTATATCATTGAATTATAGATTTATATATATCATTATATTATATATGTATATCATTGAATTATAGATTTATATATATATAATTCAATGATATTATATATTTATATATCATTTTATTATATATAAATGTCATTATATTTTATATATATATATATCATTATATATGTAATATATAATATTATGTGTAAATATGATATTATAATATATCATATATAATCTGTGATGTTATGTATATATAATGTTATAGATATAATATTATATAGGCGCAGCCCTGTTGATGGCAGCCCTGATGATCTTCCTGCACATCCTCTTGGTGGTGATTGCTCTTTTCATCACTGACCGCAGCCACGGCAAAGCCAAGTTAATCCCAACCGCCCGCTATCGATCACTGGCGGAGGACAGCTGTTCCGTACAAACGGACCATACGTAACCAGAGAAATCTGGAAGCGAACCAGGATTTGCGCCGCCGCCCATGACAGCACCTTCTGCTGGGGGCGGATCGCTGCCAACTCCCCCAATCCATAGGAACCGATTGGAGGTACCTACCATATATTTTTGGACTATTTTTCAGGGCTGTGTAAGGGATATACCCCCAAAATATGGCCTGAAAAATGGTACAGTACCTCCATTTTAGGCTCCTGAAATTCCCATAGTTTGTTGTTGGTTACATTCCTTGAGATCACATGAAATCCCCACAAAAATGTCGTTTCATCCCCTACATCCACCATGGTGCTTTCTGGGGCTGTTTAATCTGGGGGATGAATTTGGATCAGTGACTTCCCCAGGAATGGTTTCCAGCTAATGTGTTCACTGGGCTACATCGTGCCATGGACCTTGATGGCGTCCATTGGACTCTCGGCCAGGTTTCCTTTTGGGTATGTCTTGGGGGTGATGGAGGGAGATGGCACCTACAAAAAAAAATCCAAAGACATGGATTGAGCCAATCATAATGGAGATAGAAGATATGCTTTATATATCGTTATCTGTGGTTTATATGGGAATACCAAGTGCCGAACTGTAACAAAAACTGTTCCCGTCTGAAATTTCAGGGTAGTGACACAGGAATTTTCGCCACTCAAAAAGACATCGTGGCAGCGCTGCTTGTGATTTTTATTTTTTGTGCAATCCTTTTAAGGACTTTTTCTACGAATGCCTTCCAGCATTTCGGTAGAAAATAACAGCTAGGAACTTGACCCGGTCTGGCCTTAAGCTGCTCGTCGTGCTCGGTCAAGCTGTTGAAGATCATGCAATCCCGCCATGGACCCTCGAGAAGCCACCTACGACTGAGACTATAGAATGGGATGGATGAATGGGGATTTTTCATATGAATGGGGGAATGGGATTAGTAGGTTCATGGGTTCTGAAGCGTGTCCTAGTATGAAATGAACTAACGAGCTTCAACAAACAAAGATGCTCACAGGAGCCCATCTAAAATTATGAGCACATCCAGTCCAGTCAAACATTATATGTTTGTTATTATATTATATCTTGAATGTTTTGTAAGATAGCCAGGATGTTTTCTTGTGGTTTTCTTCCTGAAAAACATCGCCGCATCACATCGCAGGAACGGGAATGATGCTGCCCTTGAGCAATTTCTTGGCACTCAACTTCTTCGCGCAGAAGTACACAGATTTGCCACTTGGATCCACTTGGCGTCGGAGGTAGCGGGAAAAGCATCGCTGGTACAAAATCATGGGAGCGAAAAAGAGAATGTGGTGAGATATTGAATTTTACTAATTAGAATTAATGAGATATACTGGTAGTAGCTTAGTAGGATATGTTATGGGATGAAACATGATCAACCAGAGAGGGATTACATGGGATCTCATCAGCCATGATGAATTAATATGAATTTTCATGGAGTATAACCAATAAGGTTATGGTTATTTGATATGTTTCAGCAAGTTGTGTGGTCAGTTTCTGAAGGGCTATGTATCTGGGATATCATGGGATATTTCATCGGACATGTGAAATATCCATGGAATGTTCATCGGATATCTTGTGATATCTTATGGAATAGTTGCTGGGATACGATATAATTGTGTATATCTATGCACGCAATCAACAGTGTAGGTGAATGCTCCCATGAAACTACACTTGTCATTGGCAAAAATATGTGGTTACCATGAAATCTTTTCAGACAGACCCCATTTGAGCCCATTGTAACTACGGAAAGCTACTGGACCTGGGGAACCACAGTAATTTGAGTCCTTTTTGAGTATTACCCTCTGGTAATTTGTTACAGTTTGCTATTGAAGCCATGTATAGCACACAAAAAGAGTTTATAACCCATATATCTGGGGATATGATGGGATATTTCCATTAATTTAAGTGTGGATTTTTAGGGTTGTGACCTTCCGATAATTCAACATAGCTATGGCATGGTACAGTTAGTTCGATGCTTTACCTCTTAAAGTTGGCAATGTTCGATTGTAGAATTGCCAGATGGTACCCTCTGGTACATATACAAAAAGCTATTGAACATGTCCCATAGAAATAGTTTATTTACCGAAGTTAAAGATGGTGATTTTCCATAGTTTTCTGTATGTTTACCAGAGGGTGACCATCCATTTATCGGGGTAGCCAATGACTTGACCCATAGCTAAATTCATAATGAATTCAGCCATCAAGGACATCCACTGAGAGCAACCGAAGCATGAAAGGAATCGGGGGAAATAAGCTATCTTGATGGCCATTAGCTTGTTCCATTCATTAACCATTAGTTAACCAATTAGAAATGGTGATTAGTCCATTAATTAGCCACTAATCAGTAGTGTTTAACCATTACTGGTTGGTGGTTTGGAACATTTGGATTATTTTTCCATTCAGTTGGGAATAATCATCCCAACTGACCAATATGTTTCCATGTTTTTCAGAGGATTGAAACCACCAACCAGA